ACTGGTTTTGCAGGTGGTGACCACAGACCACTTCTCAGTTCCTATGCTTCCTGGGTGATGTTTTGGTCACTTTTGAATGCTGGCAGTGCTTTCACTCTAGTGGTAGCATGAGACGGAGTCTACAACCCACACAAGTGGCTCAGGTAGTGCAGTTCATCCAGGATGGCACATCAATGCGAGCTGTGGCAAGAAGGTTTGCTGTGTCTGTCAGCGTAGTGTCCAGAGCATGGAGGCGCTACCAGGAGACAGGCCAGTACATCAGGAGACGTGGAGGAGGCCGCAGGAGGGTAACAACCCAGCAGCAGGACTGTTACCTCTGCCTTTGTGCAAGGAGGAGCAGGAGGAGCACTGCCAGAGCCCTGCAAAATGACCTCCAGCAGGCAACAAATGTGCATGTGTCTGCTCAAACGGTCAGAAACAGACTCCATGAGGGTGGTATGAGGGCCCGACGTCCACAGGTGGGGGTTGTGCTTACAGCCCAACACCGTGCAGGACGTTTGGCATTTGCCAGAGAACACCAAGATTGGCAAATTCGCCACTGGCGCCCTGTGCTTTTCACAGATTAAAGCAGGTTCACACTGAGCATGTGACAGACGTGACAGAGTCTGGAGACGCCGTGGAGAACGTTCTGCTGCCTGCAACATCCTCCAGCATGACCGGCTTGGCGGTGGGTCAGTCATGGTGTGGGGTGGCATTTCTTTGGGGGGCCGCACAGCCCTCCATGTGCTCGCCAGAGATAGCCTGACTGCCATTAGGTACCGAGATGAGATCCTCAGACCCCATGTGAGACCATATGCTGGTGCGGTTGGCCCTGGGTTCCTCCTAATGCAAGACAATGCTAGACCTCATGTGGCTGGAGTGTGTCAGCAGTTCCTGCAAGAGGAAGGCATTGATGCTATGGACTGGCCCGGCCGTTCCCCAGGCCTGAATCCAATTGAGCACATCTGGGACATCATGTCACGCTCCATCCACCAACGCCACGTTGCACCACAGACTGTCCAGGAGTTGGCGGATGCTTTAGTCCAGGTCTGGGAGGAGATCCCTCAGGAGACCATCCGCCACCTCATCAGGAGCATGCCCAGGCGTTGTAGGGAGGTCATACAGGCACGTGGAGGCCACACACACTACTGAGCCTCATTTTGACTTGTTTTAAGGACATTACATCAAAGTTGGATCAGCCTGTAGTGTGGTTTTCCACTTTAATTTTGAGGGTGACTCCAAATCCAGACCTCCATGGGTTGATACATTTGATTTCCATTGATAATTTTTGTGTGATTTTGTTGTCAGCACATTCAACTATGTAAAGAAAAAAGTATTTAATAAGATTATTTCATTCATTCAGATCTAGGATGTGTTATTTTAGTGTTCCCTTTATTTTTTTGAGCAGTGTATAAACGCAACATGTAAAGTGTTTGTCCCATGTTTCATGACCTGAAATAAAAGATCCCAGAAATTTTCCATATGCACAAAAAGGGTATTTCTCTCAAATTTTGTGCACACATTTGATTACATCCCTGTAAGTGAGCATTTCTCCTTTGCCAAGATAATCCATCCACTTGACAGGTGTGGAATATCAAGAAGCTGATTAAACAGCATGATCATTACACAGATAAACCTTGTGCTGGGGACAATAAAAGGCCACTCTAAAATGTGCAGTTTTGTCACACAACACAATGCCACAGATGTCTCAAGTTTTGAGGGAGCGTGCAAAATTGACATGCTGACTGCAGGAATGTCCACCAGAGCTGTTTTCAGAGAATTGAATGTTCATTTCACTACCATAATCTGCTTCCAACGTCGTTTTAGAGAATTTGGCAGTATGCCCAACCGGCCTCACAACCAAAGACCACGTGTATGGTGTTGTGTGGGTAAGCGGTTTGCTGATGTCAACGTTGTGAACAGAGTGCCCCATGGTGGCGTTGGGGTTATGGTATTGGCAGGCAGGCATAAGCTACGGACAACAAACACAATTGCATTTTATCGATGGCAATTTCAGATTTTATTGGTCACATACACATATTTAGCAGATGTTATTGCGGGTGTAGCGAAATGCTTGTGTTCTTAACTCCAACAGTGCAGTAGTATCTAACAATTCACAACAATACACACAAATCTAAAAGTAAAAGAATGGAATTAAGAAATATATAAATATTAAATTGAGCAATGTCGGAGTGGCATTGACTAAAATACAGTAGAATAGAATACAGTATATACATATGAGATGAGTAAAGCAGTATGTAAACATTATTAAAGTGGCCAGTGATTCCAAGTCTATGTATATAGGGCAGCAGCCTCTAAGGTGCAGGATTGTGTAACCGTGTGGAAGGCGGCTAGTGATGGCTATTTAACAGTCTGATGGCCTTGAGCTAGAAACTGTTTTTCAGTCTCTCGGTCCCAGCTTTGATGCACCTTCTGGATTATAGTGGGGTGAACAGGCCGTGGCTCAGGTGGTTGATGTCGTTGATTATCTTTTTTGGCCTTCCTGTGACATCGGGTGCTGTAGGTGTCCTGGAGGGCAGGTGGTTTGCCCCCGGTGATGCGTAGGGCAGACCGCACCACCCTCTGGAGAGCCCTGCGGTTGCGGGCGGTGCAGTTGCCATACCAGGCCGTGATACAGCCCGACAGGATGCTCTCAATTGTGCATCTGTAAAAGTTTGTGAGGGTTTTAGGGGCCAAGCCAAATTTCTTCAGCCTCCACACACTGTGTGGGTGGACCATTTCAGATCGTTAGTGATGTGTACACCGAGGAACTTTAAGCTTTCCACCTTCTCCACTGCAGTCCCGTCGATGTGGATAGGGGCGTGATTCCTCTGCTGTTTTCTGAAGTCCACGATCAGCTCCTTTGTTTTGTTGACGTTGAGTGAAAGGTTATTTTCCTGGCACCGCTCTCCCAGGGCCCTCGTCTCCTCCCTGTAGGCTGTCTCGTCATTGTTGGTAATCAGGCCTACTACTGTTGTGTCGTCTGCAAACTTGATGATTGAGTTGGAGGCGTGCGTGGCCACCCAGTCATGTGTTGTGACGTGACTTACTTTAATGTATGACTGTTATTTATCGAATCACCTAACTATGTTGAATTGTCACTCGATTAAATTAATCATGTAACAATTAACTCATTAGGAATTTGGGGCACCACGGAATAAGTTGTTTAACGAGTTACCATCTCCCGAATTAAACTCTTATATATATATATATATATCGATAACAGTCACTTATCAAAGAATTACCTCTTATCAGTCTCATTCTGAACGTTGCATAATCCTTGAACATGCAAGAACCCTAACCTTATTGATGAATCAGCAATAAACAAATTGGCTTAATTATTTATTTACTAACTAAATAATACAGACATAGATTCAAATTATCGTAATTACTTTGGAAACTACGCTCACAGTAATCATAATACTTATGCACCCTAATAATTGCTAATTCGGATTAGAAATGCAACATGTATTTACGTGTTGCTGTCCTCGATAGTTGAGTTGATGATGTAGGACTCTGGTTTGCCCACCAGAGATCTCAATGTCCTTCGTAGAGTTTCTGGTCATAGTTGTGGTTAGAATGGATACTTCAGATGTACCAGCGGTTGTCTGAGAGGGATTGTCCTCTCCTCTCTCTTGTCTTTAGTGAAAGTTCTCTAGATGACTATACATGCCAGCTGCAGACTGAAATGATAAGGTCTAGTGCAGGGTTCTTCAATTCCGGTCCTGGAGGGCCGAAACACTTCTGTTTTTTATTTCTACCTGGTAGTTAATTGCACTCACCTGGTGTCCCAGGTCTGAATTAGCCCCTGATTAGAAGGAGAGGATGAAAAACAGAGGTGTTTCGGCCCTCCAGGACCGGAATTGAAGAACCCTGGTCTAGTGCATTGTCTTATTCTTCACCTTGTGTAGAGGTTGAGAGTTTCAGAGTTTCTCCATTTGCAACGTTTAGCTCACGCTTCACTTCTGCTGGTCTTGTGGAGTGTCAACCATTTTAAGCAGTGGGGCTTACTGGTCTGGTAGAAATTAAACCATTTGCAACTTTAGGCTCTTGCCTCACGTCTGCTGGTCTGAGATGAATTTCGTCACAAGGCTTTTTATGCACTCGGGGTAAAAGGGGCGTTCCATCATGTTTGTGCTCATCTGGGTGTGGCCAGAGTTAACATGCTTAAATGTCTTACTCAAATCAGCCACAGCCGACAATCAACATCCTGATCAACTCTATGCAAAGGAGATGTGTTAAGCTGCATGAGGCAAATGGTGGTCACACCAGAAACTGACTTTGTTTTATGATCCACGCCCCTACCTTTTTCTTATAAGGTATCTGTGACCAACAGATGCATATCTGTATTCCCAGTCATGTGAAATCCATAGATTAGGGCCTAATTAATTTATTTCAATTGACTGATTTCCTTAATTGAACTGTAACTCAGTGAAATCTTTGAAATTGTTGCATGTTGTGTTAATATTTTTGTTCAGTATAGTTGCATCGACCGTGCTGTAGGCTGCCTACACCGTAGCCATGTGATAAGAAGCTCGGTTCAGAATCGAAAACAAGACCTGAACAATGTTGTACACTTTTTTTTCCTTCATAAAGAGTCTAACCTGAGGTCTGTAACTTTGAAGGTCCGAATGTCCGGCGAATATTGAATATCAAATCAACTTTTTACCACGGTAAAAAACATATATTTCTAATCTATAATGAGTGCATATTGATGTCCCTAACAACAAATGTTGATAATACAAGGTGAAGTTAGTTGAAACGTATTAAAGTAATTTTGTCCCAGGGCAGGCTCAAGTCATCATATTCATGCCTCACCCGCGCGAACCCAGAGAACTGGCAGTCGTTGCCTGGTAACGGGACGCGTTTCCTTGGAGTGTATGAATGAACAACATGAAGAGGGCTAGCTAGCTACTGGAGCTAGCCAGCTGTTAGCTGGTTAACAAATGAGGTGCAGACATTTTGGAAATTACAATCTTGTGTATTATAACTAAGCGCGTTTGACTAACAGGACAGGAAACATGGAGGTAAGTTGTGCTGGTTTTTATAGCTAGCTAGATAGCTAACGTTACGTTTTGTTTTGCCAAAAGCAACAGGTGCCACCTCTGGGTAGTATTCATTAGTGGACACCGCAGCAAAACGTTTAGCAAAGGATAACAAACACAAGCCTTTCTTGTTGGAAAACTTCAGTCCGTTTTCTCTCGTCTGGTTGGTGCCTAGTGAATAGTCAGTCACCTACTGTATCGTGACTGACCGTCCCTGGCGTTGGAGGAGATAGGGACACTACAGTACGGTACAGAAAGCTCCCAATCCGATTCAAACTCCATTCACCAGCGGCAGCTCTGCAAGCGTTCGGCCTATGTCAAAATACGTTCGTTGATCGCCAAATATGGAGCAACTATATTAATTTAAGGCCGGTATGTACTTCCAAAAAAAGTTCTAAATAAAAATGGGCAAACAATGCCTATTCGGCACATCCAATGACAGTACATACCGGCCGTAACGGGAGTAAATGAAGATAGATGTTCAGCGAAACTCCATATTTGGTGATCAACGACTAACGTCTTTTGACATTAAAACGCTTTCAGAGTTGGTGAATGGGAGTTTGAATCAGAGCTTTCTGGGCGAGAGGTCTCTAACGCACAGGTAGATAGATACTGATCGGGGCTTGCAGTATGTTAACGTTAACGTTCCAGAACTGTCAAGTAATTTTTCTTCATGTCACTGCATTTCTATAGTAGGCCTATAGTAACTTGTGACAGTTATCAATCAATCTTTATTGTCACAATCGGGAAATGTATAGTACAGTCAGGGCAAGAAACAAGATCAACTGCAACAGATACACATAAGATGAATAGAAAACAGATCAGTTGCAGTAGTTATTGCAGGAGTGAAACCATACAGAGCACATAAAGTGTCCCTTTCAGGACCTTGCAATTAGCTTACTCTCTCAGATTTGACAAGTGCTTGATTACAGTTTGTGTGTCCTTTCCCAGGATAAAGGTCAGAAGCCAGAAGCAGATGAGAACAGTTTTGAATCACTGGAGAAGGAGTTCCAGGAGGTTCTCAATGAGTTGGTGGGAGACAAGAGCCTGGACAAATTCCGGGTTGAATATGAGAAACTGACCAACGCCCTAAAGAAGTCCCATGAGAGTGAGAAGAGGCTGATGACAAAATGCAGGGAGCTGAATGCAGAGATAGTGTCCAATTCAGTAAAAGTTGCTACTGCACTGAAGTTGTCCCAGGAAGATCAAACGACTATAACTTCTCTGAAGAAGGTAGGCCCTTAATGGTGAAAACATGAGTAGCTGCATAGATGTTTAATAAGCCTACAGCCTAAAGTTAGGGTGAAGGTTGTCATTAGTGTTGGCAATAAGCGCATGTAGGGTATTATGCAGTACAAATATTCACACTCTTCATTTTGAGCAGAATAGAGCATTGTTTTAGAACTGTGCCTTATTTCAACATGTCCCAGATTTGTCATAGTATTATGGCCATACAAAAGTGTATTGAACACTTTTTTTTCTTTTAGGAAATAGAAAAGGCTTGGAAAATGGTTGATGCAGCCCACGATAAAGAGCTCAGAGCAAAAGAGACAATTCAAACATTGAAACATGACATTTCAAATCTAACAAAACTTGTTGAACAAGGAGCTGGTTTGTCTGTGGGTCAAGAACATGGGTGAGTTGAGTTGTGCACACTCGCACTGTACATTGTCCACTTCCTTTGAATTGACCAATTCACTAGAGATTATTGTCATACCTCAAGGCCTACATACAGTGCTTAATTTGAACAGGATCCGGCACCTAAATTTAGATTTTCAGCCTGCACTTGATATTCTGAGAATTGATTCGGGTTGGGCTAGGTCCGGGTTTAAGTTTGCGCCACATTGTAGCCTATATTTTGAGACCAACCCTTGGCCATTGCTGTGGTGAGAGAGCGAAGCATGCACCTGTAGCCTATCTCTCACAGAACTACAATGAGATTTCTGTGATCTCAATCTCTCTCTGCTCTGATAGACATGAGCCTGCAACTCTCTCTCCATCTCTCCACTTCATCAAAATATAAAATAGGCAGTAATGTAACTATTCCAATTCAAATACAAATTCACTATAATGAATCTGTAGGCGAACTACACTGTTTTACAAAGTATCTTGAGATATAATGGCACGAGCGCATCGGCCATCACTGGTGAGTGCACATTCACTAGCCTATCTTAGTTTTTATTGATCTCAGTTTGTCAATGTCAGAGTACCCTGTCATATCGGTAATTTATGTGGTATATAAAAAAAAAGATGTAGAATTGCATGAAATGCGTTTATAAAAGGACATTTTTGTGTGCAAGTCCTAGAAACGCTTCTGCTCTAGGCTACTCTATGCCACTATGCAAATGCACTGATTTATTAAAAAGGTGAACCCCCCCCCCCCCCCCCCATGCATTTCAGTACTTCCGAGCCCCCCAGATCACCCCCTCTCATGCTCACTTTGAGTTTCGGCACGTCCCGATTTATAGACTACGGATCCGACTTTTACTGGACCTTTCTTCTCAATGACTAAAGATCCCGAAGCTCCTACGCATGTGCAGGAATCTCTACTTACGCACAGTCTCTTCTCTACTCGTAGAGAACAGGCTACTCAGGCGAATGGTGCTTGTTTGATCAAGTTAGATCAAAGCTGAATCAATATCTACAAGATCACATAATGGTAGTATTATACATAACAGAACCAAATATAATAGCATAGTATAAAGTTACTGTAAGTGATTTTAGGATGATGGTGCGAATGGTCGCATTTCTCTCTTATATGGCCACAGCTCAACTGCGCGCGTGTCACGATCGTTGACACATGATGAAGCGGACCAAGGCGCAGCGTGATAGGCGTACATACTTTTATTAGTGTACACACAACGAACCAAAACAATAAACGATACGTGAAGTCCTAGGGTTAAACACAAACCTTACGGATCAAGATCCCACAAATAACTAGTGCCAACAGGCTGCCTAAGTATGGTTCGTTCCCAATCAGAGACAACGAGAATCAGCTGCCTCTGATTGGGAACCACCCTGGCCAACATAGAAATACAACGATCTAGAACAGAAACCTAGAAAACTATAACATAGAACCTACACACCCTGGCTCAACATTAAAGAGTCCCCAGAGCCAAGGCGTGACAGTACCCCCCCCCCCAAAGGCGCGGACTGCGACCGCGCCAACCAAACACAACAGGAGAGGGGCCGGGTGGACATTCTGCCTCGGAGGCGGATCCGGCTCCGGGCGTGACCACCACTCTCTTTCTACCCCCCCGTAGCGCCCCTGGTCTGGTCCCGCTGGCCGGAGCTGAACTGGACACCGGTGGAGCAGGCACGGGCCGTGCCGGACTGACGACGTGCACCACTGGCTTGGTGCGGGGAGCAGGAACGGGCCGGACCGGGCTGACGACGCGCACCACTGGCTTGGTGCGGGGAGCAGGAACGGGCCGGACCGGGCTGACGACGCGCACCACTGGCTTGATGCGGGGAGCAGGAACGGGCCGGACCGGGCTGGCGACGCGCACCACTGGCTTGGTGCGGGGAGCAGGAACGGGCCGGACCGGGCTGGCGACGCGCACCACTGGCTTGGTGCGGGGAGCAGGAACGGGCCGGACCGGGCTGACGACGCGCACAACTGGCTTGGTGCGTGGAGCAGGAATGGGCGGGACCGGGCTGGCGACGCGCACCACTGGCTTGGTACGGGGAGCAGGAACGGGCCGGACCGGGCTGGCGACGCGCACCACAGGCTTGGTGCGGGGAACAGGAACAGGCCGAACCGGGCTGGCGACACGCACCACAGGCTTGGTGCGGGGAACAGGAACAGGCCGGACCGGGCTGGCGACGCGCACCACAGCCTTGGTGCGAGGAACAGGCCGGACCGGGCTGGCGACGCGCACCACAGGCTTGGTGCGAGGGTCAGGAACAGGCCGGACCGGGCTGGCGACGCGCACCACTGGCTTGGTGCAGGGAGCAGGAACAGGCCGGGCTGGACTGAGAACACGCACCATAGGCTTGGTGCTGGGAGCCGGAACGGGCCGGGCCGGACTGTGGAGGCGGACTGGAGGTCTGGAGCGGAGAGCTGACACAACCCGTCCTGGCTGAATGCCTACTTCCACACAATATGTGTGAGGCATCAGCACAGGACGTACAGGGCTGTGCACTCGTACTGGCGCTACAGCACGTGGCACTGGTGCAGGATATACGGGACCGAGGAGGGGTACTGGAGGCCACGAGCGTTGAGCCGGCACACTCCGTCCTGGCTGCATGCCCACCTTAGCACGACACGTGCGTGGTGCTAGCACAGGACGTACAGGACTGTGCCGGAACACTCGCGGCACAGTACGTGGCTCCGCATAACACGGAGCCTGCCCTTTTAGCCCCCCAACATTTTTTTATTGGGGCTGTCTCTCGGGCTTCCTCCTCGGCCGGTACCCACTGCGTTGTCGCTGCTCCTCTCTGTAGCGCGCCTCCACAGTCTCCTCCCAAGGACGGCGATCCATTCCGGCCTGGATCTCTTCCCAAGTCCAGGATCCCTTCCCGTCCAGGATCTCCTCCCAAGTCCAGGCTGTCTGTTCCTGGATACGCTGCTTGGTCCTCCTTTGGTGGGATCTTCTGTCACGATCGTTGACACATGATGAAGCGGACCAAGGCGCAGCGTGATAGGCTTACATACTTTTATTAGTGTACACACAACGAACCAAAACAATAAACGATACGTGAAGTCCTAGGGTTAAACACAAACCTTACGGATCAAGATCCCACAAATAACTAGTGCCAACAGGCTGCCTAAGTATGGTTCCCAATCAGAAACAACGAGAATCAGCTGCCTCTGATTGGGAACCACCCTGGCCAACATAGAAATACAACGATCTAGAACAGAAACCTAGAAAACTATAACATAGAACCTACACACCCTGGCTCAACATTAAAGAGTCCCCAGAGCCAGGGCGTGACAGCGCGCCACTATGCAAAACATGTGCTTTGATTGAAACAAAACACAGGTTCTCTCACTGTACAAAATTCGAAACAACCCTGTACATAACTAAGAAGATCTAAATGCATATTCCCATGAAACTGATCGACATCAAATGGTTGGCATGTAGATGCTGCATGGACGTTTCACCGGTAAAACTTGAAGAATTATTATTCATGATTGGCAATGAGAAATGTGAAGGGAGGGTGACCACAAAAATGGGTGCGTAAAGTAGAGGTAAGGAAACACATGCGCAGAACATGATATGGATCTTTCCAGCAGGATCCAGGGTGACGGGAAGGGGCGGATACCTACGGATCAGCAGCCTCAGCCTACAAATTAAGCACTGCCTACATCTCTAGATAAAGATAACATTAGAGAAGTTTTAACTGAAAGCTCATTTGTTTTTCAGTGTGAACGATCTGCTGAAAATCAAAGAGGAACTAACCAAAGAAAGAGATGAACTGCTTACGGAAGTGGTGACTCTGCGAAATAATCTAACAAAGGCCACCGCCAGTCAACAAGAGATGGAGGTTCAAAAAGAAAAGGCAATGGAAACCATATCTCAGGTAATGCAGACACTCAACATCACCATTTACATTTATAGGTGTTTATTGTTAATCAACTTAATGACAACAAATTGAACAAGTATAAACCCAAAAAAAACGTGTTCTTGGTTGAACAGAGAACTCAATAGGATTTTTTTTAATGTAGCATTACATCTTAAACATCAAATTTTTTTAAAAATATTGCGCGTTTGCTTTAACGTCACTTAACTGGCAGGTAGGGCATTAGTTATTAGGTAGGTATTATGGCCATACACTTGGTAGTTGTCTGGAACCTGACTGTAATTGTTTATCATTTCAGTCCTCATTCCCATTCGGTTGCAAATAAACCAGTACGCTTTATTTGCTGGACAGTGTGTCCACAAGTCTTGGCACATCCAGTCATAAATTGACTGGGGCCTTAGCATATAGTAAGTACACTCCAGTGCCCGCTATCTCCTGGAATACTTGCTACTAACGACATCGTTTTGATCCTGTATCCTGTCCACCACAGCTCCAGCAAGACATCCAAGTCCGTCAGAACGAGTGCTCGCGGGAGACACGGCGGAAGGAGAAGCTGGAGAAGGAAGTGAAGCAGCTACACACGGACCTGGAAGCCAAGCAGTCGGACATCAAAGTGCTGAACCTGCAGAGCCAGCGCAGCAAAGAGGAGCAGCAGAGGCTGGAGCAGCAGCTGCGGGAGCAGAAGGTGAGGCCGTGACCAGGGGGGATGACGTTACACCCTCCCTGTACACCGGTCCTCTCCCTTCCCCTTCATCCTCCAATCTTTTCACAGATGAGCACCAACTTGAGAGACGGTGCCAGTCGTACACGCATGGAATACAACTTTTACATGTATGCTGTAGGGGGTTTAGATTTAATGTGGGATTTGATTTGTGCCGTTTGTCCCCTCACAGATTCTCAATGAGCGGGCCACAAAGGAGCTGGAGCAACTGCAAGTGAGAAACACCAAACTCCAGCAGGAGAATGAACAGAATGCCCTGAGTATGGAGCAGCTCTCCCTCGACACTCAACAAAGGGCATCTGACCTAAAGGTAAAGCCCACAAACACCCAGTGTGTTTGTGTGCATGTGCATGTGTGAGAGAAGCTCCACAGATGACGGACATCCATAGAGAGCCCTCACAAAGTGCTGCCTACTGTTGATCAAAACATCATGCCAGTAAAACCATATTTTAATCATGGGACCCCATGGTTGTTTTTTGGCAGTTTTTCGCAAACCATTGCATGTCAGCGCATATGGGCCCATATTCGCAAAGTGTGGCAAAGTAGGAGTGCTTATCTAGAATCAGTGTTGCCTTTTCAATCGTAATCAAATTAAATCAAATTTCTTGGACAGGGAGAGAGAGAAGGGAGGGAAAAAAGAATGGAGTGGCCTCTTCCTGAACTGTTATCAGAGAGACAATGAAAATTGGACAGGAGCCCTAATGACAGCAACACAATAAATACCTATTCTCTCTCGCTCTCCCTCCCTCTCTGACCCCCCACCCCCCTCTCTCTTTCTCTCGCTCTTCTTCCTCTTTCTCTTTCTCTTCCTCCCTCCTTTTGTTCACCCCTCCTCAGGTGAAGGAGGAGGAGGTGAATCAGATGCGTCAGGAGATTGCCAAACTAACAAAGATGAGAGAGGCCACTCAGCGGAAGTTCCGACAGACGGAGGATCAGAAGTTGGAAGTGGAGCAGCAGAGGGACATGCTGAAAAACCAGATCGCTGGCCTGGAGAGAGGCAAGTATACACTCACACACACACTAACTACACTGACACTCTCGCACTAAACCCACACACATTCACATGCACTACATGTGCACACACACTCATAACACATGCACACGCACCCACATATACACACACATACACACACTTTTACACTCATCATATGCTGCTGCTACTCTGTTCTTTGTTTTATTATTATATATCCTGATGCTTTACCCTGCCTTCATGTACATATCTACTTCAAATACCTCAAATACCCCTGCACATTGATCTGGTACTGGTACTTCCTGTATATAGCTCCATTCTTGTGTATTTTATTCCTCTTGTGTTACTATTTATTTTATTTTTTACTCTGCATCTTTGGGAAGGGCTCGTAAGCAAGCGTTTCACGGTAAAGTCTACACCTGTTGTATTCGGCACGTGACAAATAACATTTGATTTGATTTCAACATGCACACACACGCAGAACTAAACAAACACGAATACACATGCCCGCACAAATGTACACTACCGTTCAAAAGTTTGGGGTCACTTAGAAATGTCCTTGTTTTCGAAAGAAAATAAATTTTTTTGTCCATTAAAATAACATCAAATTGATCAGAAATAGAGTGTAGACATTGTTAATGTTGTAAATGGCTATTGTAGCTGGAAACGGCTGATTTTTTTATGGAATATCTACATAGGCGTACAGAGGCCCATTATCGGCAACCATCAGCCCTGTGTTCCAATGGCACGTTGTGTTTGCTAATCCAAGTTTATCATTTTAAAAGGCTAATTGATCATTAGAAAATCCTTTTGCAATTATGTTATTAAATAGTACCCGCAAAACACCAGTCTCAACGTCAACAGTGAAGAGGCGACTCCGGGATGCTGATTGCCTAGTTCAGCATCCCGGAGTCGCCTCTTCACTGTTGACGTTGAGACTGGTGTTTTGTGGGTACTATTTAATCAAGCTGCCAGTTGAGGACCTGTGAGGCGTCTGTTTCTCAAACTAGACCCTCTAATGTATTTGTCCTCTTGCTCAGTTGTGCACCAGGGCATCCCACTCCTCTTTCTATGCTGGTTAGAGCCAGTTTGCGCTGTTCTGTGAAGGGAGTAGGACACAGTGTTGTACGAGATCTTCAGTTTCTTGGCAATTTCTCGTATGGAATAGCCTTCATTTCTCAGAACAAGAATAGACTGATGAGTTTCAGAAGAAAGTTATTTGTTTCTGGCCATTTTGATCCTGTAATCGAACCCACAATTGCTGATGCTCCAGATACGCAACTAGTCCCAAGAAGGCCAGTTTTATTGCTTCTTTAATCAGCACAAAAGTTTTCAGCTGTGCTAATATAATTACAAAAGGGTTTTCTAATGATCAATTAGCCTTTTAAAATGATAAACCTGGATTAGCAAACACAACGTGCCATTGGAACACAGGACTGATGGTTGCTGATAATGGGCCTCTGTATGCCTATGTAGATATTCCATTAAAAATAAGCCGTTGCCAGCTACAATAGCCATTTACAACATTAACAATGTCTACACTGTATTTATGATCAATTTGATGTTATTTTAATGGACAACAAAAATTATTTTCTTTCAAAAACAAGGACATTTCTAAGTGACCCCAAACTTTTGAACGGTAGTGTATGCCGGGAGACACACACAAATATCTGGGTTGACACTTAAACACTCCTCTGCTCTGTTCCACTCTTCACTGTCAAAAGCACTCTTTTTGACAGGAAGATGCCATTTTTCCTTATCTTTTAGTAACTCAGAAAATATGAAATGTAGTGGTTACATTGTGGTGGGGTTTGTGTGCAAGGTACATCAATTGTGCATACAGAATGTCTATCATTCTCTCTCACTCAAAAACAACATGAACATGAACCTTGTGTTGTGAACAGAAATGGAGTCCTCCAAAAAGCAGATGGAGATTGACAAGAAAGGCATTGATGAACTGATGCGGGAAAGAGACATCCTGAACAAGGTATGTATGCAGAGAATAATATAATTTAGCAGACACTTTTATCTAAAGCAACTTGCAGAACTGTCAACATTGACAGTGACACACATCCAGTATGTACCCCATGCAGAAATCAAATCGACAACCCCGGCATTGCCAGCACCCTAATGCTACATGACATTATGTGTATAGCCTATGTTGTTTCATTATTTGCGGGTCTTATTTTGCATGATTTCTTTCATTAGACACCTCTTAATGTGACTAATGTGCACCAAACACACTCTCATCTGCTCACAACCCATTGTGAAAGTGTGTGTTTGTGCATGTACATTTGTGTCTGTGTGTGTGTGTGTCTGTTTATTGGTTTGTTTTGTGTGTGTTGGCATGCACATGTGTGTGTGTACATTGTAGAACATGGTCAAGGCAGCCAATGCCACGGAGAAGCAGCTGAATGTAGTGAAGCTCCATGAGCAGTCCAAGAAGAACCTGGACCAGGAGATCATGAACTACCGCGACGAGGCCCAGAAGCAGCGCAAGATCATCTACCAGCTAGAGAAGGAGCGTGACCGCTATATCAACGAGGCCAGCGACCTCACACACAAGGCAGGTCAAGGTGCACTAAGATAACTCAGGGATGGGTGGAGAGACCAGGGGCCTCATTTATAAACGCTGTGTATGTACAAAATATAACATTTTCCCTGCAAAACAAAACATGCACCAGTTTTCACTGCATTTATAAAAACTGAACTTGCCTGGAGAATGTGCTTACCTCCACGCAAAGTTCAGACCCTGCAAATGCACTACTTCTTGTTACTTCTAGTAATTATTGCATTGCGAGCAGGCAAGTAAGTACTTTATGCAAATGAGGAATGGTTAGGATGAAACGCTATTCATAAAACAACAACAACAGGAAAACATAATGACAAAACAAATGCAGCTATTTGTTGTTAGTAAGAAGAGCGAACATCTATTGATTTTATCGTTGCAATCTAAAATTATAAATAGGAATTATCTAACCTTTATTTAGGCAGGGGAGACAAAATCAAGCAATTAAAGCTGTTTTTCTTAAATCTGTGGTGACAAAAGGAGTTTCAAGATTTAGCCATCCCTGTGAACGGGTATGATATCTCGTACTTCTATAGGTTAGTAACGACAAAGACAGTACAGTATGAAGATAGGAAGAAACTGTTTCTCCAACAGAAATCCCAGATCACGCTTGTAGGCTATGTCAAGGCGACGTTGGCTAGTTAAACTCATGCGTAGAAACACGTTATCGGGTCTAACGGTCGAACTGCGCATGTGCAGTCCATCAAATCAAAGGTACTCCTTCAATATAAAGTTGTTTTTGACGAAAATGAAAATGTGTCAGATTGTCACGTTCACGAGGTTGAAGTAGCAACATGTTCAACTAAAGACATTGGCTTGAATCTAGGTTGTGCCTTTAGATTTTGAGAAAATGAACAACTAAGGAAGATTATTTCACTTCTCTCATTGACTTCCCAAACCCCGGCCTGGTTTGTTTGGTCTGTTTCACAAGCGTTCCCGGAAGTCTCACGATGTTGCGCCTCGGGTTTCAAAAGCAGACAGTAGAACAGACAGTTCATATTTTCCGTTGAGGTGTGTAGGCTACTACTGTACGTCTGAATCATAAAATATAATCTCATTCTAGTTCTGTGGTTTGAATACTGTAATTAAAAATGTCTCGAGTATACACTGTTTCAGAATTAAGGACAGTGCAGCATATTTAGGTTGCGGGAAAAAGTCCATGCAAAACATTGTTGAATTAAAATGTTCTGCTAACAGGTCCACAACAATTTGTCATGGTTTATTTCTTTCAGAAACTGTCACAGTCCTTTGCCCAATACAGCAAATGTCACAGCAGAAGATTAAAACATTGTGGCAACACCTCCAAAACATTTGATAAAATGTGCCATTGCTTTTGTTTGGTGAAACTGTAATGGCTTAATTTCAATATACTTATTATACAGCAAATAGGGTTGTTATTTATCACCATAAAAGGTGAATGAAGGGCGTTTTCCAGGCGAATAAATAATGCTAATTCACATGCGCATAGTTTCAGGACGGGGCTGATTTATAGTGAGGAACATGCGTATGTGTGGCGTATGGCAGGTTTATAAATCTCAATATTTTTATAAGTACGCATTATTTTCAGAAATGGGTTAAGCAGATATTTAGTGTGAAATTTACACAACGCTTATCAATGAGGCCCCCAGAGTGCTGGCAGGTCTCCCCTGTCCATGTAATCGTATTCATTGTGATCTAAAGGGCATAGCTGATCTTAAATCCACGTTGGATACATTCAGCCCCAGGGATTTAGGCTCAGTTAATAATAATATAATATGCCATTTAGCAGACGCTTTTATCCAAAGCGACTTACAGTCATGCGTGCATACATTTTTACATATGGGTGGTTCCGGGGATCGAACCCACTACCCTGGCGTTACAAGCGCCATGCTCTACCAATTGAGCTACAGAGGACCGGTAATGTACCAGTAATGTAGTACTAGCATTAATGTTGATGAAGCAGAGAAAATGGGAGGGAACTCCATTTGAACATTGCAGATGAGATAATGTGATATGCGACATGTGTTGCAACAGACAAAGCATCTTTACATATGTTGATGAGGTGGAGAAAATGGTAAGGAACTTAATTTGAACATTGCAGTATATCATTTAGGACTACAGCATGCCGGTATTGTGTCTAGGTTGTGTTATATAAACAGCTAGCTATCAGCTTCTGGTTACGTAAGCCCAAGTCTTCTATTAAGTCCCAAACTAAACCCCCTCTTGGGATGATCCTCTGTTCCCTCGTTCCTTTTCTTCCACAGGTGCTCCAACACATGGAGGACATTAAAATGAGGGAGATGCAGATCTTTGAGTACAAGAAGAAGATTGCAGAGGCAGAGACCAAGCTCAAACAGCAGCAGAACCTCTACGAGGCCGTCCGATCTGATCGGAACCTCTACAGCAAGAACCTCATCGAAGCCCAGGTTGGATTTACATATGATTCAGTTGTGATTGTCCGGTCTGTCGATTGGTCAGTCTACTCGCTCGCTTGCTCACCCACTCAGTCATTCACTCACTCACTCACTCTCCACCCTCTCTTTCAGGATGAGATCACAGAGATGAAGAGGAAACTGAAGATCATGAACCATCAGATTGATCAGCTAAGGGAGGAGATCAACGGCAAAGAGTCTGCCCTAGTCAAGGAGCACCTGGAGTTCCAGCGAGTGGAGAAAGAGAAGGAGGCTCTGAAGGTAATTTACTATGCCGTGCTCACTGTGAGTGGTTAAAGTGGCTACTGTGCAAATTGACTTTTTAGTCTGGGAACCCATTGGTGTAACTAGTCATGAGAGAAAGGATGGTTGTAATTCAGCATTTTGTTTTACTCAAATATTAACACCAACCTGCTTTAGCTCTTTCAATCACATCAGTGTGACACACTCCCCACCAGCATGACACCCATCCTGCCAAATGGCACCTTATTATAGTGCACTACTTTTGACCAAGGCCCAAAGTCTGTTTTCTTTTTCTTTACCTGGCTGCCCTCAAAGGCTAGCCTCCCCTCATTTACCTCATTTTCAAATGGCACAATTAAAACCAGTTTGATGAAGTGAAGGCCGTCTTTCCATTCCTCCTATAGGCCGAACTCCAGAAGATGAAGCAGCAGGCTCAGGAGACGAAGCAGTTTATCGACAATCAGGAGGCCGAGGAGAGAAAGCTGCTCAAGATCATAGCCGACGCAGATGCTGAGCGGCTCAGACAGAAGAAAGAATTGGATCAGGTAAGGTCCAGAGAGAGGGGTGGAAAGGTGGCTCCCTGCTTTCACTGAGAACTCACTGCCCATTCAAAGAGACAAATAGTACTGTCATAGTGATAAAATAGTGCTGATTTTAATAAAGGGGCAGGCCCTTCCCGTAGAGGCCTGGGATGGACAGAGATGTTGTCATCAGCCAGCAGATCTGTCATGCCGTTGCGGTCTCACATCACATGGGTTTCATTTATGTCTAATGAGGTTTGTATTTGAATGGATGAGACCAAGTAGAAATATTGAGCATGCTATGGTATGTTGTCACCACCATTCATCTTTTTTCAAGACTTTCTAGGAAATAGCAGGTCATTTAGCAGGTAATCTACCAGTATCCATTTAGATGGAAAATAATCATACACATTATCACAATATCACATTTTTATTTGATTTATACATGTATTTTTGTAGTCTTTGATCAAAGTAACCTGGGGTTTTTGTTGTTTGCTCTTTTGCCATCACCGTCGCGTAGGTGATCAGCGAGCGAGACATCCTGGGCACTCAGCTGGTGCGACGAAACGACGAGCTGGCCCTCCTCTACGAGAAGATCAAGATCCAGCAGTCCATGCTGAACAAGGGAGAGATCCAGTACAACCAGAGGGTGGAGGACATCCGCCTCCTCAAAATGGAGATCAAGAAACTCAGACGGGAGAAGGGCATCCTGGCCAAGACTGTGGCTAACGTGGAAGACTTAAGGTGGGATTGAGAGAGGAAGAGAGAGAGGGAGTAAGAGGGTGAGGAAAGTGAGCCGGCGAGACAGAGAGGGAGGGAGAAGCTGATATAGACAGAGAGAAGGGGGGACATAGGGAAACAGAGAAAGATCGAGACCCTGCCCTGAACGTCTAGCACCCAAAGTCATACTGAATTAATGTATAACCAATTTATCCAGTACTTTGGTTTTGCAGCTGGTGGCTACCAGTATGATTAAAGGAAAATTCCACCCCAAAACTATATTTTAGTATTTGTTTCATTAGTCCATTGTTGACATAATAATGTTTTGCTTATCAGCAATACATTTTTCAAGATATGTAACTTTCAAAATACAGAAATCATCCCCGTATGATGCATTTTGCAGCATATGATGAAACAAATTCCAAAATATAGTTTTTGGTTGGAGTTTTCCTTTAACCGCTGTTAGGTTCTAAGATTCTGGTAGAAATTCCAGTTGGACTCTGAAGAAAGCTAGATTTATTAAACCACACTGGGTCATACAGCTGCTAAGACAAGATATGACGATACAAGCACATATATTTATAACCTCCTACTAGGCAGGGTCAACTCCTTACACATCTTACATTGACATTTTACATTTTAGTCATTTAGCAGACGCTCTTATCCAGAGCGACTTACAGTTAGTGCATACATTATTTTTTTTTCATACCCCCTGTGGGAATCGAACCCACAACCCTGGCGTTGCAAACGCCATGCTCTATCAACTGAGCTACATCCCTGCCGGCCATTCCCTCCCCTACCCTGGACGACGCTGGGCCAATTGCACGCCGCCCCATGGGTCTCCCGGTCGCGGCCGGCTACGACAGAGCCTGGATTCGAACCAGGATCTCTAGTGGCACAGCTAGCACTGCAATGCAGTGCCTTAGACCACTGCGCCACTCGGGAGACTGGCACATCTTGACAGCCAATACATCTATGTTGCTAGGCAGGAACTTAATTGGTTCCTCTCAACTGGTGTAGTCATGGCCCTGCTTGATGCTAGAACCTTCGTAGGCATGGAAGTGGAAGTGTGTGAGATATGACTGTAGAAGGAGGGTCGTTGGGGTGGGCCCCTCTGGCTCCCCTCCCAGAGGTTTCTACTCACTTCTTCTGTTGACTTGACCTCGAGCCGAATTCCTCGCTCCTCCCTAGTTCTGTAGCTGGCCTGCTTTATCAAAGACTAACTGTTGCCCTTCGTCTCCCTCAGTAACTTTCCATACACATTCCTTATTCACACATCATTGACACAGAACATAAACAGTTATCATACATGTAACGTAATCAATAAGTTCTTATATAGTGACAGGAATAAGTATATTTCAAGTTAGTACCGAACACCGTTCAAAGAGAGCAGCGCACTGAAATCATAATCCATTTCTGTAAATGATGCACTATTCTTAATAACCTTTCGTTTTACATTATTTCATTATTTTAATTGTTTTTGTGGTGCAAAAGTGCACAGATCTGTGCAGCAGGACTATTTCTGCACTGCTCAGTTTACATTGCTGTCTCATCCACTATCGGCAACCCACAAAAGGTTACCATAGTGGCATTTGCTGGACATCTGCCATGAACAAAACATTGAATTGATACAGGCTTGCCAATGTTTTTACATCCTTAATGATTAACGAAAATAGTGAAATTGAAGTCTGTTTTCAATCTATGCCCCACTTGTATTTGTTGTCATGAAATATGTGAGGAGGAAATGCCATGACATTTGATGGCATTTTGTGGGTTTTGTGACAGACGTGAGGTTTACCACATGCAGAGGGAGCTGCTCAAAGAGAGGACAAGGTGCAGAGCCTTGGAGGAGGAGCTGGAGAATCCTATGAATGTACATCGTTGGAGAAGGCTGGAGGTGTGTGTGTTACTGTGTGTGACTGTGGGTGTGTATATTTTGTGAGTGCATGGGCTCAAAAACATGTACTTTTACTGTATACCTACTCTCTTAGGGACATGAACTTCTTAATGCTTCAACCTAGCTCCTGTGAGACATAGCTAGAGAACTTATTTTGGGTTATGCATTAATGCCTCTTATTTGACATTCCTCAGGCCAGCGATCCAAGCACCTACGAGTTGATCCAGAAGATTCACTCTTTACAGAGGCGTCTGATAACCAAGAGCGAGGAGGTGGTGGAGAAAGAGCTTTTATTACAGGTAAACCACAGATAAATCTGTCTCATCCTATTGGCTACCCAAACACCAGGTGCTCCCACAAGGAATGGTCACAGCAGAAATCAATGGCAGCCTGGGAGAATTTGTTCACTACTTCATAACTTTCAGAAATTAGCGTGGACTGCATACACTGAGTATTCCAAACATTAGGAAAACCTTCCTAATATTGAGTTGCAACCCCCCGTTTTGCCCTCAGAACAGCCTCAATTCGTCGGGGCATGGACTCTACAAGGTGTCGAAAGCGTTCCACAGAGATGCTGGGCAATGTTGACTCCAATGCTTCCCACAGTTGTGTCAAGTTGGCTGGATGTCCTTTGGGTGGTGGACCATTCTTGATACACATGGGAAACTGTTGAGCGTGAAAAACCCAGCAGCGTTGCAGTTCTTGACACAAACCTGTGCGCCTGACACCCACTACCATACCCCGTTCAAAGGCATTTAAATATTTTGTCTTGCCCATTCACCCTCTGAATGGCACACATACACAATCCATGTCTCAATTGTCTCAAGGCTTAAAATCCTTTAAAACCTTTTCCAGCAGTCAAATGACCTAGTGCCCTCATGGGTGGAATGTTATTAATATTTTTCATAATTTCATAATTAATAAAAATTCATGTCAAACTATTTTGCTATATTTCAGTCTTCTGTGACGTATATAAAGTGTAATATTGGGATGCAAAATCAAAATGTTATACATTTCAACTCTATATCTGACATTTTTTTTGTAAGGCCATAACCATGTGTGTGAGGTGTATACTTTTGTTTCAAAGTATATTTGTTTAAGACTACCAAGAAACACTCAGATTTAGCCCACTGCAGTAAAATGTTAACCTGTCTCCTCTCCTTCATCTACACTGATTGAAGTGGATTTAACAAGTGACATCAATAAGGGATCATAGCTTTCAGCTGGATTCACCTGGTCAGTCTATGTCATGGAAAGAGCAGGTGTTCTTCACTGGTGCACTTCACAAAATAGATGGCATCATGAGGAAGGAAAATGATGTGGATATATTGAAGCAACATCTCAAGACATCAGTCAGGAAGTTAAAGCTTGGTCACAAATTGGTCTTCCAAATGGACAATGACCCCAAGCATACTTCCAAAGTTGTGGCAAAATGGCTTAAGGACAACAAAGTCAGGGTATTGGAGTGGCCATCACAAAGCCCTGACCTCAATCCTATAGAAAATGTGTGGGCAGAACTGAAAAAAGCATGTGTGAGCAAGGAGGCCTACAAACCTGACTCAGTTTACACCAGCTCTGTCAGGAGGAATGGGCCAAAATTCACCCAACTTATTTTGGGAAGCTTGTGGAAGGCTACCCGAAACGTTTGACCCAAGTTAAACAATTTAAAGGCAATGCTACCAAGTACGAATTGAGTGTATGTAAACTTCTGACCCACTGGGAATGTGATGAAAGAAATGAAAGCTGAAATAAATCATTCTCGCTACTATTATTCTGACATTTCACATTCTTAAAATAAAGTGGTGATCCTAACTGACCTAAGACTTGGAATTTTTACTAGGATTAAATGTCAGGAATTGTGAAAAACTGAGTTTAAAGGTATTTGGCTAAGGTGTATGTAAACTTCCGACTTCAACTGTAGATAATGGGTGGGTCGAGAGCTGGTAAGGAAGCGCCCAGTGGGATGTGTGCACGTTTTTAAAGAGCCCATCCCTGACTGAATGTTTGGCTGCGTGGCGTCACCTCTCTCTTCCGCTTCAATGCTCAGGAGAAGGAGAAACTGTACGTGGAGCTGAAGCACATTCTGGCCCGTCAGCCTGGACCGGAGGCAGCCGAGCAGCTTCAGATCTACCAGCAGACACTGAGGCAGAAGACAAAACAGCTCAAGGTCCTCTGTGCCTTTCATCTTATTTTTGTACATCCCTCTCTCTCTCCCGATCTTTCTCATACTTTCTCTCCCTAATTCTCAGCTCTGACCATTAGAAATGGACACTTCAGATACAGCAGGACCATGCACAGGCTTGCGAGCCAGGCTCACAGGCCCAGAGTAGCTTTTTCCCTGGCCATGTCATTTTCAGCTTAGTCATATGCTACTGCTTGAAGTTGATTTATTTTAGATGTCCTTTTAATCTCCCACATCCAGGCTTTGTCATCAGAGCTGAACATGTACGAGTCCCAGGAACAGGAGTACAAGTACGAGATTGAGAGACTGGCCCATGAGCTGCAGAACATCAAGAATAAGTACCTCACTCAGAAACGCAAAGAACAGCAGTGCAGGTAAAGATTACCCTGGTATAGTACTTACCAACCACCGTAATCACCTCTGAGCTCATTCTGGGGTTTCTGATTCAAACTGATTTAACTCTACAAGTAGGGCGATATATCAAATTAATTTGAATGTATGTTTTTGCGCGATATTCCAAATGGCTGTATTGCAAGAATCAAGGTTTTGTTATTTTTCGTTTTTTTCTGAGTGTTTATAGTGCCTTCGGAATGTATTCAGACCCCTTGACTTTTTCCACATTCTGTTACGTTACAACCTTATTCTAAAATTGATTAAATAGATTTTTTTCCTCATCAATCTACAAACAATACCCCATAATGACAAAGCAAAAAACAGTTTTTTAGAATTGTTTGCTAATTTATAAAAAATATATATATATCACATTTACATAAGTATTCAGACCACACCCGTCACTATGGGCGGGCCATAAGGGGCCGGGCCCGCCCCCAAAAATGCTTGTGCCCCCCCCACTTGAGGGAATTTATTATTAAATATACGTACTGTAGGCTAATAATAATTGTGCCCTGCCCTCCCATGCATTTCATATGCCCCCCTTAAGACTGAGGTCTGGCGACGGGTCTGATTCAGACCGTTTACTCAGTACTTTGTTGAAGCACCTTTGGCAGCGATTACAGCATCAAGTCTTCTTGGGTATGACGCTACAAGCTTGGCACACCAGTATTTGGGGAGTTTCTCCCATTCTTCTCTGCAGATCCTTTCTGCAGATGGTTGTCCTTCTGCAAGATTCTCCCATTTCCACAGAGGAAATCTAGAGGAAACCATCGGGTTCTTGGTCACCTCACTAACCAAGGCCCTTCTCCCCCGATTGGTCAGTTTGGCAGGGCGGCCAGCTTTAGGAAGAGTCTTGGTGGTTCCAAAGTTCTTCCATTTAAGAATGATGGAGGCCACTGTGTTCTTGTGGACTTTCAATGCTGCAGAAATGTTTTGGTACCCTTCCCCAGATCGGTGCCTCGACACAATCCTGTCTCGGAGCTCTACGGACAATTACTTCGACCTCACGCCTTGGTTTTTGCTCTGACATACACTGTCAACTGTGGGACCTTATATAGACTGGTGTGTGCCTTTCCAAATCATGTCCAATCAATTGAATTGACCACAGGTGGACTCCAATAAAGTTGTAGAAACATCTCAAGGATGATCAATGGAAACAGGATGCACCGGAGCTCAATTTCGAGTCTCATAGCAAAGGGTCTTAATACTTATGTAAATAAGGTATTTCTGTTTTTTATTTTTAATACATTTGCAAACATTTCTAAAAACCTGTTTTCACTTTGTCATTATGGGGTATTGTGTGTAGATTGCAAAAAAATAATAATATTTAATCCATTCTAGAATAAAGCTGTAACGTAACAAAATGTGGAAAAAGTCAAGGGGTCTGAATACTTTCCGAAGGCACTGTATGTCCACTTGTTCTCATGTTGTATTTTTGGTCTCATCTCCTTCGCTCCTCTGTGCTGTGTGCACCTTCCCATTTACACCAGAGATCTGTATATAATGACAAGATGCACATCTCCGCCTTAACAATGGGAGTCGTTGTCCCAAAGGCGGGAAGGCAGGCGACAAGCTTAGGTCAAAAATAAGCCCATAGAAACGCATTGGCCTTATTTTGGACAGATTTTAGAGCTTCGTCTCTTCCTCTATGGTTTACACACACACCAAACCCCTCTCCCCCTGCCTCTCACGCCAACAAAGTTCAGAGATCACATCTTCTCTGAAAAATGGTTTTAATGCGCTATTTGCATTTGAGGTTTGGTCCAACAGAATCGGTCATATGGACACCAAAACATTAACTTTTCTAACAATACCCTTTTTATGTCTCATCTACTTAAACGCAGAGCAGACACTAGTAAAACGAGAGTATCAATGAACATTGATTCTGGAAAATGAATGCTCAGTTTGTCGCGCGGGCATTGGGGTATCGCTAGCAGCATTTTAGCACAAGACTGTTATACTAGCTGTCTAGTCTGTGTTTTATAAATGTGCAATAAGCATAAAACACAATTATATAAGGAACTGGCAACTCGTTCTCATTCTGAGAAATAAGGTAGGCCACTTGATTTCAACATCTGAACAAAGTGGACAGGCTAACATGCTGTTCAAACAGTTGGAGACAGACAGAAGGGTGTGTTCATAACAATTCAACTGTTCAACCTTGTTAGCTAGCAAATAGATCCAAGTTGGCTAAACTTGAAATATAAAGATTAGCTGGCTAATCACGAGCATGTGGGCTTGAGAGATTGTTGATGATACCTATGTTAACTTTCTATAGACTAATCCCTGCTACAAGAAGTTAGTCATTATTAGTGAATGTGCATTATATATGGTTCTAGTTAAATGTTTTTTTTAATGGCATTTTCAGAGACAGACTTGAAAGCCAGATCAGTGATTATTGCCAAAAAAAACTAGGTTAAACTATTTTTATGAAATAATTAAATTATGTTTGTGGAAGGCTTATACAGTGAGGGAAAACAAGTATTTCAAATCAAATAAAATCAAATCAAATTTTATTGGTCACATGCGCCGAATACAACAGGTGCAGACATTACAGTGAAATGCTTACTTACAGCCCTTAACCAACAGTGCATTTATTTTAAACAAAAAAGTAAGAATAAAACAACAACAAAAAAGTGTTGAGAAAAAAAGAGCAGAAGTGAAATAAAGTGACAGTAGGGAGGCTATATATACAGTAAAATAAAGTGACAGTAGGGAGGCTATATATACAGGGGGGGTACCGTTGCAGAGTCAATGTGCGGGGGCACCGGCTAGTTGAGGTAGTTGAGGTAATATGTACATGTGGGTAGAGTTAAAGTGACTATGCATAAATACTTAACAGAGTAGCAGCAGCGTAAAAAGGATGGGGTGGGGGGGCAGTGCAAATAGTCCGGGTAGCCATGATTAGCTGTTCAGGAGTCTTATGGCTTGGGGGTAGAAGCTGTTGAGAAGTCTTTTGGACCTAGACCTGGCACTCCGGTATCGCTTGCCGTGCGGTAGCAGAGAGAACAGTCTATGACTAGGGTGGCTGGAGTCTTTGACAATTTTGAGGGCCTTCCTCTGACACCGCCTGGTATAGAGGTCTTGGATGGCAGGGAGCTTTGCCCCAGTGATGTACTGGGCCGTACGCACTACCCTCTGTAGTGCCTTGCGGTCAGAGGCCAAGCAGTTGCCATACCAGGCGGTGATGCAACCAGTCAGGATGCTCTCGATGGTGCAGCTGTAGAATTTTTTGAGGATCTGAGGACCCATGCCAAATTTTTTTAGTCTCCTGAGGGGGAATAGGCTTTGTCGTGCCCTCTTCACGACTGTCTTGGTGTGTTTGGACCATGATAGTTCGTTGGTGATGTGGACACCAAGGAACTTGAAGCTCTCAACCTGTTCCACTACAGCCCCGTCGATGAGAATGGGGGCGTGCTCAGTCCTCTTTTTTTTCCTGTAGTCCACAATCATCTCCTTTGTCTTGGTCACGTTGAGGGAGAGGTTGTTGTCCTGGCACCACACGGCCAGATCTCTGACCTCCTCCCTATAGGCTGTCTCATCGTTGTCGGTGATCAGGCCTACCACTGTTGTGTCGTCGGCAAACTTAATGATGGTGTTGGAGTCGTGCCTGGCCATGCAGTCATGGGTGAACAGAGAGTACAGGAGGGGACTGAGCACGCACCCCTGAGGGGCCCCCGTGTTGAGGATCAGTGTGGCAGATGTGTTGTTACCTACCCTTACCACCTGGGGGCGGCCCGTCAGGAAGTCCAGGATCCAGTTGCAGAGGGAGGTGTTTAGTCCCAGGATCCTTAGCTTAGTGATGAGCTTAGAGGGCACTATGGTGTTGAATGCTGAGCTGTAGTCAATGAATAGCATTCTCACGTAGGTGTTCCTCTTGTCCAGGTGGGAAAGGGCAGTGTGGAGTGCGATAGAGATTGCATCATCTGTGGATCTGTTGGGGCGGTATGCAAATTGGAGTGGGTCTAGGGTTTCTGGGATTATGCTGTTGATGTGAGCCATGACCAGTCTTTCTGTCACGATCATCAAACGTTCCACATAGACAATTACCCACAAACACATGATGCCCATGGCTGCCTTAAATATGGCTCCCAATTAGAGACAATAAACCACAGCTGTCTCCAATTGAGAACCAATCTAGGCAGCCATCAACATACAAACACCTAGACAAGACATTACCCCATAAACCTACAACCCCCTAGACAAACCAAAACACATACTTCACCATGTCACACCCTGACCTAACTAAAATATTAATGAAAACAAAGATCACTAAGGCCAGGGTGTGACATAACCCCCCCCTTAAGGTGCGAACTCCGGGCGCACCAGCATAAAGTCTAGGGGAGGGTCTGGGTGGGCGTCTGTCCACGGTGGCGGCTCTGGCACTGGTCGTGGTCCCCACCCCACCATAGTCACTACCCGCTTTCGTAGCCTCCTCCAAATGACCACCCTCCAACTTAACCCCACTGGATTAAGGGGCAGCACCGGACTAAGAGGCAGCACCGGACTAAGGGGCAGCACCGGACTAAGGGGCAGCACCAGGATAAGGGGCAGCACCAGGATAAGGAGCAGCACCAGGATATGGGGCAGCACCAGGATAAGGGGCAGCACCGGGCTAAGGGGCAGCACCGGACTAAGGGGCAGCACCGGACTGAATGGCGGATCCTGGCTGGCTGGCCCTGGCGGATCCTGGCTGGCTGGCGGATCCTGGCTGGACGGCTCTGGCGGATCCCGGCTGGACGGCTCTGGCGGATCCCGGCTGGACGGCTCTGGCGGATCCCGGCTGGACGGCTCTGGCGGATCCTGGCTGGACGGCTCTGGCGGATCCTGGCTGGACGGCTCATGGCTGGCTGACGGATCTGGCTGCTCATGGCTGGCTGACGGATCTGGCTGCTCATGGCTGGCTGACGGATCTGGCTGCTCATGGCTGGCTGACGGATCTGGCTGCTCATGGCTGGCTGAAGGATCTGGCTGCTCTTGGCTGGCTGACGGTTCTGGCTGCTCATGGCTGGCTGACAGATCTGGCTGCTCATGGCTGGCGGAAGGCTCTGGCTGATCCTGTCTGGCGGAAGGCTCTGGCTGATCCTGTCTGGCGGAAGGCTCTGGCTGATCCTGTCTGGCGGAAGGCTCTAGCGGCTCCTGTCTGGCGGAAGGCTTTAGCGTCTCCGGTCTGGCGGACGGCTCTGAAGGCTCATGGCAGACGGGCGGCTTAGCAGGCTCAGTACAGACGGGCAGTTCATGCAGCGCTTGGCAGACGGACAGTTCAGACGGCGTTGGGCAGACAGGCAGTGCAGGCGCCGTTAGGCAGACGGCAGACTCTGGCCGGCCGAGACGCCCTATAGGCCTGGTGCGTGGTGCCGGAACTGGAGGTACCGGGCTGAGGACACGCATCTCAGGTCTAGTGCGGGGAGAAGGAACAGGGCATGCTGGACCCTGGGGACGCACATAAGGCCTAGTGCGTGGTGCCGGAACTGGTGGTCCCGGGCTGAGGACACGCATCTCAGGGCTAGTGCGGGGAAGAGAGACGGGCCGGACCGGGCTGGCGACGCGCACCGTAGGTTTGGTGCGAGTGGCAGGAACAGGCCGGGTCGGGCTGGCGACGCGCACCGTTAACATAGTGCGTGGAGCAAGAACAGGCCTGGCTGGGCTGGCGACGCACCCCGTAGGCTTAATGCGTAGAGCAGGGACAGGCCGGGCTGGGCTGGCGACGCGCACCATTAACTTAGTGCGTGGAGCAGGAACAGGCCGGGCTGGGCTGGCGACGCGCACCGTCCATTTGGTGCGAGGGGTCGTAACAGGCCGGACCGTACTGGGGACACACACCACTGGCTCTACCCCGGGAACTGGAACGGGCCGGACCGGACTGGTAATACATCCCAGTACCACTCGCCGTGCCTCTACATCTCCTCTCCCTACTTTGACCAGTGGCCCCCGTAACCTGGTGGCCTTTTGTTTTCTTGCCTCCGTGCTGCCTCCTCATATCGCCTCCTCTCGGCTTTAGCTGCCTCCAGCTCTTCACGAGGGAGGCGAACTTCTCCCGGTTGTGCCCAAGGACCCTTTCCATCCAGTATCTCCTCCCATGTCCATGAATCCTGTGTAGGTGGGTCCTGTTGCCGCTTGACACACCGCTTGGTCCTAGATTGGTGGGTAATTCTGTCACGATCGTCAAGCATAGAGAAGGACCAAGGCGCAGCGTGTGCAAAATACATCTCTTTAATTATAGAAGAGAGACAAACACGAAACCGAACACTATCCAAAACTAACAAAACAACAAACGACCGTGAAGCTAAAGAACGTAAGTGCACAGACAAGCAACAAACGTTCCACATAGACAATTACCCACAAACACATGATGCCCATGGCTGCCTTAAATATGGCTCCCAATTAGAGACAATAAACCACAGCTGTCTCCAATTGAGAACCAATCTAGGCAGCCATCAACATACAAACACCTAGACAAGACATTACCCCATAAACCTACAACCCCCTAGACAAACCAAAACACATACTTCACCATGTCACACCCTGACCTAACTAAAATATTAATGAAAACAAAGATCACTAAGGCCAGGGTGTGACACTTTCAAAGCACTTCATGGCTACAGACGTCAGTGCTACGGGTCGGTAGTCATTTAGGCAGGTTATCTTAGAGTTCTTGGGCACGGGGACTATGGTGGTCTGCTTGAAACATGTTGGTATTACAGACTCAGTCAGGGACATGTTGAAAATGTCAGTGAAGACACTTGCCAGTTGGTCAGCACATGCTCGGAGTACACGTCCTGGTAATCCGTCTGGCCCTGCGGCCTTGTGAATGTTGACCTGCTTAAAAGTCTTACTCACATCGGCTACGGAGAGCGTGATCACATAGTCGTCCGGAACAGCTGGTGCTCTCATGCATGCTTCAGTGTTGCTTGCCTCGAAGCGAGCATAGAAGTGGTTTAGCTCGTCTGGTAGGCTTGTGTCACTGGGCAGCTCGCGGCTGTGCTTCCCTTTGTAGTCTGTAATAGTTTTCAAGCCCTGCCACATCCGACGAGCGTCAGAGCCAGTGTAGTATGATTCAATCTTAGACCTGTATTGACTCTTTGCCTGTTTGATGGTTCGTCGGAGGTCATAGCGGGATTTCTTATAAGCGTCCGGGTTAGAGTCCCGTTCCTTGAAAGCGGCAGCTCTACCCTTTAGCTCAGTGCGGATGTTTCCTGTAATCCATGGCTTCTGGTTGGGGTATGTACGTACGGTCACTGTGGGGACGACATCATCGATGCACTTATTGATGAAGCCAGTGACTGATGTGGTGTACTCCTCAATGCTGTCTGAAGAATCCCGGAACATGTTCCAGTCTGTGCTAGCAAAACAGTCCTGTAGCTTAGCATCTGCGTCATCTGACCACTTTTTTATTAGCCGAATCACTGGTGCTTCCTGCTTCAGTTTTTGCTTATAAGCAGGAATCAGGAGGATAGAGTTATGGTCAGATTTGCCAAATGGAGGGCGAGGGAGAGCTTTGTATGCGTCTCTGTGTGTGGAGTAAAGGTGGTCTAGAGTTTTTTTCCCCTCTGGTTGCACATTTAACATGCTGGTAGAAATGAGGTAGAACGGATTTAAGTTTCCCTGCATTAAAGTCCCCGGCTACTAGGAGCGCTGCATCTGGATGAGCGTTTTCCTGTTGATTAATGGCCTTGTACAACTCATTCAGTGCAATCTTAATGCCAGCATTGGTTTGTGGTGGTAAATAGACAGCTATGAAAAATATAGATGAAAACTCTCTTGGTAAATAGTGTGGTCTACAGCTTATCATAAGATACTCTACCTCAGGCGAGCAAAACCTTGAGACTTCCTTAGTATTTGATTTTGTGCACCAGCTGTTGTTTACAAATATACACAGACCGCCACCCCTTGTCTTACCAGAGTCTGCAGTTCTGTCCTGTCGATGTAGCGTATAGCCCGCTAGCTGAATGTTGTCATTGTTGTCGTTCAGCCACGACTCCGTGAAACATAAGATATTACAGTTTTTAATGTCCCGTTGGTAGGATAACCGTAATCTTAAATCGTCAATTTTATTCTCAAAAGATTGAACGTTGGCTAATAGGATTGATGGGAGAGGCAGTTTACTCGTTCGCCGTCGGATCCTTACAAGGCACCCGGATCTGCGTCCACAATATCTCCGTCTCTTCCTCACGCGAATGACGGGGATCTGGGCCTTGTCGGGTGTCTGTATGATATCCTTCGCGAACGCCTCGTTGAAGAAAAAGTCTTCGTCCAATTCGAGGTGAGTAATCGCTGTCCTGATATCCAGAAGCTCTCTTTGGTTATAAGAGACGATGGCAGAAACATTATGTACAAAATAAATTACAAATAACGCGGAAAAACACACATAATAGTACAATTGGTTAGAGGGCTGTAAAACGGCAGCCATCTTCTTCCGGCGCTGTTCTTTTGTACGTTTGCCCACTGACAAAGACATGATCAGTCTATAATTTTAATGGTAGGTTTATTTGAACAGTGAGTGACAGAATAACAACAAAATAATCCAGAAAACGCATGTATAAAATGTTATAAATTGATTTGCATTTTAATGAGGGAAATAAGTATTTGACCCCTCTGCAAAACATGACTTAGTACTTGGTGGCAAAACCCTTGTTGGCAATCACAGAGGTCAGACGTTTCTTGTAGTTGGCCACCAGGTTTGCACACATCTCAGGAGGGATTAGTCATATGCAGATCTTCTCCAAGTCATTAAGGTTTCGAGGCTGACGTTTGGCAACTCGAACCTTCAACTCCCTCCACAGATTTTTTATGGGATTAAGGTCTGGAGACTGGCTAGGCCACTCCAGGACCTTAATGTGCTTCTTCTTGAGCCACTCCTTTGTTGCCTTGGCCATGTGTTTTGGGTCATTGTCATGCTGGAATACCCATCCACGACCCATTTTCAATGCCCTGGCTGAGGGAAGGAGGTTCTCACCCAAGATTTGACGGTACATGGCCCCGTCCATCGTCCCTTTGATGCGGTGAAGTTGTCCTGTCCCCTTAGCAGAAAAACACCCCCAAAGCATAATGTTTCCACCTCCATGTTTGATGGTGGGGATGGTGGTCTTGGGGTCATAGGCAGCATTCCTCCTCCAAACACGCAGGGTTTAGTTGATGCCAAAGAGCTCGATTTTGGTCTCATCTGACCACAACACTTTCACCCAGTTCTCCCCTGAATCATTGAGCAGAGGGACCTTGCGGGCGCTGCAGGATTTCAGTCCTTCACAGCGTAGTGTGTTACCAATTGTTTTCTTGGTGACTATGGTCCCAGCTGCCTTGAGATCATTGACAAGATCCTCCCGTGTAGTTCTGGGCTGATTCCTCACCGTTCTCATGATCATTGGAACTCCACGAGGTGAGATCTTGCATGGAGCCCCAGGCCGAGGGAGATTGACAGTTATTTTGGTGTTTCTTCCATTTGCGAATAATCACACCAACTGTTGTCACCTTCTCACCAAGCTGCTTGGCGATGGTCTTGTAGCCCATTCCAGCCTTGTGTAGGTCTACAATCTTGTCCCTGACATCCTTGGAGAGGTCTTTGGTCTTGGCCATGGTGGAGAATTTGGAATCTGATTGATTGATTGCTTCTGTGGACAGGTGTCTTTTATACAGGTAACAAACTGAGATTAGGAGCACTCCCTTTAAGAGTGTGCTCCTAATCTCAGCTCGTTACCTGTATAAAAGACACCTGGGAGACAGAAATCTTTCTGATTGAGAGGGGGTCAAATACTTATTTCCCTCATTAAAATGCAAATCAATTTATAACATTTTTGACATGCGTTTTTCTGGATTTTTTGTTGTTGTTATTCTGTCTCTCACTGTTCAAATAAACCTACCATTAAAATTAAAGACTGATCATTTCTTTGTCAGTGGGCAAACGTACAAAATGCAAATCAATTTTTAACAATTTTGACATGCGTTTTCTGGATTTTTTTGTTGTTATTCTGTCTCTCACTGTTCAAATAAACCAACCATTAACATTATAGACTGATCATTTCTTTATCAGTGGGCAAACGTATAAAATCAGCAGGGGATCAAATACTTTTTTCCCTCACTGTATTTAGCCTAGTTATAACTTCACAAGCCCTGAATTCATTAGATTATTGTTGACTGTTTGAAATGCAGTGTATTTTACCTTTAATTGTACAACAACGCTTATTTAGAGAAAACATTTTTAAAAACGTCTATATATATCGTGAATCGCCCATAAGATTTTTAGGCCGTATGGCCCAGCCCTATGTACAAGGGTTGCGAAAATGAGTGTGTGCGAATGCGTGATCCTAATTGAAGATTACCTTCAATGTGAGGTGGGTGATCAGTGATGGCTTCAGACATACCATAAATTATACCTCAAATCCAGTCGTGTTCAGTGCCGTTTATAATTTTTTTCATGAGCATGGCCTTATTTCTATTACAGCATATTGGATGACTATCATTCATATTCCATTCACCCCTAACATTGATAGGTTTAGGCTACTACGTGATACTAGAGTTTTCCCTATACCCATCATGAGGTTGCTACAACCTAGCCTATGAATTAAAGTTTACAACGTAGGTGCACACAGGTCGAGAGAAAAATTTGAGGTGAAAGATAGTGACACATTGACAGACAGTGACACATTCAATACTGCCTTGCACACTCTTGCCTGCATCTAGCTGATCTAGGGTGTAATCATTAGTCCAATAGTTGCAAACGTGAGTTTCTATTGGACAAATTGAGGTATGTTTATCCATGTTTCGTTCCGTTTGCTTCCGTTTAAGAAATGTTTATGAACAGAATCGGCAGAATGAATACACCCCTGATCATGCTTAAACAAAGTTCACTTTCATAGCAGCCACATTGTATTCCTTCTCACATTGTATTCCTATGCGCTCTCCTCCTCTCACCTTTTCCCTTCGTTTGTGGACTTCAATGCACAACACATCAGCTGTATGTGACCAGGCGAAAAAACCTTTCCAAGCCAAACCATATCATAACCGCTACACACAGCCTACATTGTTGTCACCATATTAGCTAAAGTAACATCCTAGTCAACATAGCTAATAAAACTAATGCGTTAGTAATCATGCAGTAATGTTACAGTGTATAGTCAGTAAGCAGTTTTGCAGTTACACCGGCAGGCCCCGGTGGTAGTAAATTAATAAAACCAAACGCTTACCTTGATTTGGAAGAGTTCCAGTGTTGTGTTTGATAGTCATAGCCAGCTAGCTATCATAGCATCCCTCTGTTTGAGCAGGGAGTTTAAGTAGGCTAAACCAGCTAGCTGCATTTGCTAGCTAAGTAAGTGAAACTGAAAGTGAAAAAAAAGACAATCTCTCTCTCTCTTGCTTCTCCTTAATTTTTGAAGAAATTAATTTGTTCAAAACTGTTAAAGTATTGTCTTTCTCTCTCTTTGAGTCAACTACTCACCACATTTTATGCACTGCAGTGCTAGCTAGCTGTAGCTAATGCTTTCAGTACTAGATTCATTCTCTGATCCTTTGATTGGGTGGACAACATGTCAGTTCATGCTGCAAGAGCTCTGATAGGTTGGAGGACGTCCTCTGGAAGTTGCCATAATTACTGTGTAAGTCTATGGAAGGGGGTGAGAACCAAGAGCCTCCTAGGTTTTGTATTGAAGTCAATGTACCAAGAGCAGGACAGAAGCTAGCTGTCCTCCAGCTACACCATGGTGCTACCCTACAGAGTGCTGTTGAGGCTACTGTAGACATTAATTGCAAAACAGTGTGTTTTAATCAATTATTTGGTGACGTGACTATATTTACTATAGTTTTATCTAAAAAGGATAACTTTTTAAATGTTTTACCATTTTTATTTGTATGAAATTCACTGAGGAGGATGGTCACTGTGGATGGAGCAACTCTGAAATGCGTCTGCATGTGTCTGTGTGAAATGTTCAATTTCCTGGAACACTCCTGTGTGTCTGCAGGGAGAAAGAGAGGAGCCTGGCGCAGGTGGGACAGTCGGTGATCCTGCCCCAGCGCAGCGACGGTCCACGCTTCACCGGTGGAGGCTTCAGTCTTAAGCATGCTGGCAATATCGCTACCTAGAGGGGGAGACAAGAAGCTCCCTCCAGCCTTACGTCTTATCACACTCCCTCTTATTACCTCCTCACCCCTCATAAGACACTCACCATTGTTGATACTGTTTTTAAGAGCTCTTCTAAAGGAAAAATAAATGGGTTGTGATGTTATTCAATAAAGAGAGCTCACTTCACGTATCAGTCTGACCTTTCTCCAATATTTATGTTTGAAGTTAGAAAATGGTCAGTCCAATCAGCGTTCTCTCTGAAAAAATGGGTGGGTTTAGGATAACCTCGGAATCCCAGAACTAAAATCTTGCGTAAATGCGTCAGATGCTCGATTAGGTTCTAGAGGGAGGTGAATGAGAAAATTCTACTAACGAGACTAGAGAAATCTCCACCCTCCTAAACTCTCAGCCAGAGCCCACCCCCATAACGAAACATTTCCGTTTGAAATCCTTGCTTGAAATCCCCGTACCCACTTTAAGTACTACCATCACCCAATCCTAAAACATCCAAATAACCAGTGATGTAAAACCAAAGCACCGGAAGTACTGTGCACTTTAGTCGTCGCATCAGTCTTTTGACAGACGTTATGATACCATTTATTTTACTTAGTCTGTCCACAAGAGACTAGGTTTAGGACAAAAACCCACACGGCCAAATACTGCGCTTTGAAATATTGGTTGAAGCTGACAAATTAGTTTTGAATAATGCCCCTCATTACAGGCGTGGGCTCTTGGGCTGATACTGTATGTGAAGTGAACAGATAGGTCAGTAGCTAAACTCATTTATCACAAATTCAAAGTCATAGTTTTCCTGAATTATGAAAAGCCATTTGGAAGTGTTTACACCCTCTATAGCCATTATGGTTCAGATCCTGCTGGTCATCTATCAACGTCTGAACGTCTTTTTATGTGCTCCATCCTGTTCTGGTTATCAGCCTGCCAAGTATGCACACCATGAACTGAAAAACAATCTGGCCTTAATGGCCACATGTACTCTTTATCTCTACCCTGTACAACCAGAAGAGGACTAGCCACCACTTAGAAACCGCTTCCTCTTTGGTTCCTTCTTTCTAGGGTGGTCACTTAGCATCTACTTCTGCATTGCTTGCTCCTTGGGGTTTTAGGCTGGGTATCTGTAAAGCACTTTGTGACAATTGCTGATGTAAAAAGGGCTTTATAAAACCAATTGGCTTGATTCAAGGGGCAATCAGCAGTTGCTACATTTTTGGATTGATAAATTAATGACATTGATTTTTGAAGAATATAATTTATAATAAGAACATCATAATTCAAACCAATGATGATGTTCTTTTCTACACAGAAGATCATACACAATTATTGCCTGATATTCCTTGATGTTTTCTTGAACTTCCCAATACCTTTCTGAAGCATTTCAGTCACTTCAAACTATACTTCCGATTTAAATACTGTCAAAAATATTGTCAGACTGATTTGTAAATCATGGCTGTTGATTACATCACTTTTTTCACATGGTGGGGTCACAACATTTTTCTTATATCAAAGTGGGGTTGTGTGGCAAAAAAAATTAGGGAACCCCTGTTCTAGCAGTTCGTGACAAACAGCGGCAGATACCATTACAAGCTAGTAGAGATTACCTCAACACTGTCATGGCTAGATAGAATAAAGCTTATATCAAATTGACGTCAAAAGTGGAAATGTTTGTATTTTAGCTAACCCTAACCCGTTTTCCTAATCTTAACCTAATTCTCCTAACCTGCTACATGAATTCTCCTATCCTGCTGCGTAAGTTCTCCTAACCTTGCTTGACGACTCACCCTGAATTTAATTCCGCTGCTGTATCGATCGCTACATACAGTACATTCAGTCGGAATCTGCCATCCTAGAAGTATTTTGTGCGACTTCAAAATGACAGGCGTTGTACAAAATAAATTAATCAGCGATTGGATTGTCTCTAACAAACTGGCTCTGGTCCAACCCATCGGTTTCTGGGACCAATTAGAACGGTCAGAATGTATTTGCATTCTAGAAATCGTAGGCAAGGGAGGCAAATCCAGACTCCTCATGGAGAAGAAATGTCAGTTTGGCCGGAGTGATGTGGATTCCGGAGCAATGTGGAGTCAATTCTGGTTAATTCTGACATAAACTGTATACTATCTAGTCAAAACCCCACAACACAGCTAACCACTGATCGAAAAGTGAATTTGACAGTCTTTTGAGCAATATTATTTTTTACAAGTTTTAAGTTTGTTTTGTTTTACGACAGCAAGTGTTTATCAACAGCACAGTGTTTCAAGTTTGTTTTATTTTTGTCAAAATCCGTGTGGTGACTCAGATTGGTTGATTCTGAGATCCAAGCGACGCTGATTCTCCGATCCCAAAGAACGGCGAGTTACCAACACCCATTTGACTCGATAGACGTGTGTAAGCTGCACTGCATACTGCTTCATCCTTCATCCTTTCCATCTGGAACACGCTTCTTCATCAGGGGTTGGAACAAACATTATTTTCCAATCGTTTCGTTCTGAACAGAACTATATCATTTTTTTGTTCCGTTCCACTGTTCCGACCAGCAAAATAAAGTTCTGAACCGGTTCTAACCCCAAAAAAGTAACGGTTTACATCGTTCATTCCTGTTCCTTTTTAAACCTCTGAAAGATTGAATCCTGCTACAACAGCTCCGACGCTTCTCGGATGTGGCAGGGCTTACAAACTATTACGGACTACAAAGGGAAACCCAGCTGCGAGCTGCCCAGTGACGTGAGCCTACCAGACGGGTGAAATGCCTTTATGCTCGCTTCGAGGCAAGCAACACTGAAGCATGCATGAGAGCACCAGCTGTTACGGATTACTGTGTGATCACGCTCTCCGTAGCCGATGTGAGCAAGACCTTTAAACAGGTCAACATTCACAAGGCCGCGGGGCTAGAAGGATTACCAGGACGTGTACTCAGAGCATGCGCGGACCAACTGGCAAGTGTCTTCACTGAGATTTTCAGCCTCTCCCTGACCGAGTCTGTAATACCTACATGTTTCAAGCAGACCACCATAGTCCCTGTGCCCAAGAAAGCGAAGGTAACCTGCCTAAATGACTACCGCCCCATAGCACTCACGTCGGTAGCCATGAAGTGCTTTGAAAGGCTGGTCATGGCTCACATCAACACCATCATCCCGGAAACCCTAGACTCACTACAATTCGCATACCGCCCCAACAGATCCACAGATGACGCAATCTCAATCGCACTCCACACTGCCCTTTCCCACCTAGACAAAAGGAACACTTATGTGAGAATGCTGTTCATTGACTACAGCTCAGCGTTCAACACCATAGTGCCCACAAAGCTCATCACTAAGCTAAGGACCCTGGGACTAAACACCTCCCTCTGCAACTGGATCCTGGACTTCCTGACATGCCGCCCCCAGGTGGTAAGGGTAGGCAACAACACATCTGCCACGTAAATCCTCAACACGGGTGCCCCTCAGGGGTGCGTGCTCAGTCCCCTCCTGTACTCCCTGTTCACCCACGACTGCGTGGCCAAGCACGACTCCAACACCATCATTACGTTTGCTGACGACACAACGGTGGTAGGCCTGATCACAGACAACGATGAGACAGCCTATAGGGAGGACATCAGAGACCTGGCAGTGTGGTGCCAGGACAACAACCTCTCACTCAACGTGAGCAAGACAAAGGAGATGATCGTGGACTACAGGAAAAGGAGGGCCGAACACGCCCACATCCACATCGACGGTGCTGTAGTGGAGCGGATCGAGAGTTTCAAGTCCTTGTTGTCCACATCACCAACAAACTATCATGGTCCAAACACACCAAGAAAGTCGTGAAGAGGGCACGACAATGCCTTTCCCCCCTCAGGAGACAGAACATATTTGGCGTGGGTCCCCAGATGCTCAAATAGTTCTACAGCTGCACCATCGAGCATCCTGACCGGTTGCATCACCGCCTGGTATGGCAACTGCTCGGCATCCGACCGTAAGGCGCTACAGAGGGTAGTGCGTACGGCCCAGTACATCACTGGGGCCAAGCTTCCTGCCATCCAGGACCTATATACTAGGCGGTGTCAGAGGAAGGCCCATAAACTGGTCAAACACTCCAGTCACCCAAATCATAGACTGTTCTCTCTGCTACCGCACGACAAGCGGTACCGGAGTGCCAAGTCTACAGTAGGTCCAAAAGGCTCCTTAACAGCTTCTACCCCAAAGCCATAAGACTGCTGAACATGGCCACCTGGACTATTTGCATTGACCCCCCCTGCTGCTACTCGCTGTTTATTATCTATGCATAGTCACTGTACCCTTACCTACATGTACAAATTACCTCGACTAACCTGTACCCCCGCACATTGACTCGGTACCGGTACCCCTTGTATATAGCCTCATTATTGTTATTTTAATGATTTCCGTTTTATTTATTTTTTACGTTTATTTAGTAAATATTTTCTTAACTATATTTTCTTAAAACTGCATTGTTGGTTAAGGGCTTGTAAGTAAGCATCTCACGGTAAGGTCTAGACCTGTTGTATTCAGCGCATGTGACAAATAAAATGTGATTTGATGTAACTTTTCTTTTTTTACATTTAGCTCAACCAGGGACGGCCTGTTCAATAGGGCGATATGGGCGACGCACTGCCAAACGGGAAAAGGAAGGGATTTTTTTTCTAATCAATTATATCACGGCAACAGTAGTTATCAGTGTTGTAATCTAGACGTCTGATCTGCCACAGTGCTAAAGTCGTGCTTCAAATGGCCACCCCCCCTTTTGGGGCGATTTCAGTCAGGTTGAAAATCGCCCAGAAGTCTGTCATAGACTCCCATGTAAAATCTATTTTTTTCAAATTTCAGAGCTTTCAATACAATCTCTATGGGTGTCTGAGGGCTTGCACTTACGCGCTTTCGTCATACGTAACGTAACCATGAACGTAACTAAGAAAATAGCGGGTAGCAGCGTCTCTGTTGCGACCTGCAGTGTGTGTGACGTTATCTTATGTTTTTAATCTTATGTTTTTAATTTGTACACTTAGTGG